GGATTAAGTTGGGAATACATGTCAATCAAAGGGTCCCCTTTCCCTGTCCATCCAACAGTGGAGTGTCATTGTTTGGTTTTGGTATCAGGTAATGCTGGCCTCATTAAATGAGCTTGGAAACATTCTTTCCTCTCAAATTTTTTGAAAAATTTGAGGATAGGTATTAAGTCTTCTTTAAATATTTGGTAGAACTCAACTGGTACTGGACTTTTGGTTTGAGAAGTTCTTATATTACTAATTCAATTTCATTACTTGTAATCAATATGTTCAGATTGTTTATTCATGACTCAGTCTTGGAAGGTTGTGTGTTTCAAGGTTTTTCGGTTTATTGGCAAATAAGTGTAGTAATCTCTATGACTCTTTGTATCTGGGGTGGTAGTTGTAACTTCCCTTTGATTTCTGAATTATTTTGGCCCTCAGTCTTTTTTTCTTCCCCTTTGAATAGTCTGGCTAGAGGTTTATTCATTTTGTTTATCTTTTCAAAGAACCTATTTGGTCTGCTGATCTCTTCTTATGTTTTTGGTCTCTTTCATTTTGATCTTTATTATTTCCTTCCTTCTACTAACTTAGGCTTTTGTTTCCTCTTTTTCTATTCTTTTTGGTATAAAGCTAGATTGTTTATTTGGGATTTTTCTTGTTTGTTGAGGTACACCTGTATCACTATGAACTTCTCTCTTAGAATTGCTTATGCTGTATCTGAGAGACTTAGGAAAGCTGTGCTTCCATTTTTATTTCTGTCGAGTTATTTTTAAATTTTATATTAGATTTCTTCATTGACCTACTGGTTGTTTAATAACATATTAGTGTCCATTTCATAGAAACTAGAAAAGTGATGAGAAAAAGTGATTTTTTAAAAAAATCTTAAATTCATGGAGAGTTGTTTTGTGATGTAATATGCAATCTGTCCTGAAGAATGTCCCATATACACTTGAATAGAATGTGTCTTCTGCTGTTTGGGGATGGAATGTTCTATATATATTATTAAGTCCACCTGATCTAAAGTATCATTTAAGACTAATGTTTACTTATTCTGTTTAGATGATCTCTACATTGAAGTAAGTGGTAAAGGCCCTTACTATTGCTGTATTATGGTCAATTTCTCCCTTTATGTCTCTTAACATTTGCTTTTTATATTTAAGACCTATATTATGTTGGGTACATACATATATACAAATGTTATATCCTTTTCTTGAATTGACCCCTTTATCATTACACAACGCCCTTCTTTGTCTTTTGTTGCAGCTTTTGTTTAGAAGTTTGCTTTGTCTGACAGAAGTATTGCTACACTAGCTTTCTTTCCATTTCCCTTTCCATGGAATCCCTTATCCATCTCTTTACTTTGAGTCTGTGTAGGTCTTTAAATCTGAAGTGAATCTCCTGTAGGCAGCATATTGATAGGCCTTCTTTTGTTTTGATTTTATCCACTTTGCCACTTCATATCTTTTGATTGGAGCATTTAGTCCATTTAGCTTTAAAGTAATTATTAAAAGGCATATACTTATTGATAACGTTGTTAATTATTTTCTGGCTATTTTTGTAGTTCTTCCTTTCTTCTTTCAGTAACTTCCCTTGGGATTTGATGGTATTTTTTAGTGTTATGTGTGGGTTCCTTTCTCTTAATATTTTGTGTATCTACTGTAGGTATTTGGCTTATGTCTACCATGAAATACATAGATATTGATTTACATAAGTAGCAGTCTATTTTAAGCTGATAGTTGTTAAAGATCAAATTCATTTTAATACCCCATATTTTTTTTTTTTTTTGAGAGAGAGAGTGCAAACCTGGGAGGGGCAGAGAGAGAGGGACAGAGGATCTGAAGTGGGCCTGATATAAGGCTCGAACTCACAAACTGCAGAATTATGACCTGAGCCAAAATTGGACACTCAACCAACTGGGCCACTCAGGTGTCCCAATACCCCACATTTTTAAACTCTATACTTTGTCTTTGATGTCTTATTTTACTTCCTTTTATTTTGTATATCCCTTAACTAATTACTATAAATGGGGAGCTGGTTTTACTTTTTGTCTTTTAACCTTTATACTGACTTTTCAAGGGGCAGATATACTGTGTTTACTATGTATTCCGTTTTACCATTGAGATTTTTTTCTTTTATATATTTTCTAATTTCTGGTTAAGTCCTTTCCTGCTTAAAGATGACTCTTTAACATTTGCTGTAAAGCTGGTCTCGGTCTCTGGAAAACTCTCTATCTCACCTTAAATTTTGAATGATAACTTTACCAGGTGGAGTATTCTTGGTTTTAAGTTTGTCCCTTTCAGCACTTTGAATGTAGGATGCCTCTCCCTTCCAGCCTCAAAGTTTCGACTAAAAAAAATCAGCTGATATTTCTACAAGGTTTCCCTTGTATGCAACTATATGTTTTTCTCTTGCTGTGTTAAGATTTTCTCTTTAACTTTTGCTTTTATATTATGTCTTGGTTTGGATCTCTTTGGATTCTTCTGGAGATTGTGCTTTCTGGACCCAGATGTCGGTTTCCTTCCCCAGGTTAGGGAACTTTTCAACCATTATTTCTTTAAAAAGGTTTTTAGTCTCTTTATCTCTCTTCTTCTGCTGGGATCAATATAATGTAAATGTTAACATGCTGGATGTTGTCACAGAGGCCCAGCTGGTCTCATTTTTAAAATTCTTTTTTTTTTAGGTCATCTGACTAGGTTATTTCCAGTGTTCTCTCTTCCAGATTATTGACCTGTTCTGTATCATCTAATCTGTAGTTGATTCCCTGTGGTGTATTTTTCAGATCAGTTATTATGTTCTTCAACTTTGTGACTTCTGTTTGGCCCTTTCTTATGTTTTCTAACAGTCTTCCACTGTATTCTTCCATTCTTCTCTGGAGTTGTGTGTTGCATGGGCATCTTTATGACCATTACTTTGAATTCTTTATCAGGTTAAATTATTTACCTCTGTTTCATTAGATGGGCCGGGGGGGGGGGTCTTGTTCTTATGCTTGTATGTATTCCTCAGGCTCATCATTCTTTTTTGAACTTTCTGTGTTTGTATCTGTGAACACCTATTACGGAGAACACCTACCTCTCGCAATCTTGAAAGAGTCACCTTGCATTGGAACGTCCCCTGTGTAGACTGTCTATGCCTGGTGGCTTTGACTGAGCAGCCTAAGCTGAATCAGGCACAGGCTGGAGGGTTCCAGGTTGTGCTGCACCAGGGCCACCCTGGCAGGACAACTGAGCTGAGGTGGGACAGGACCACAATGTCCCAGGGTGCTGTGAACTGGATCAGCCTTGACATGACAGCTGGCCTCTTTGGTGGAAGCGCTGGAGCTGTTGCAGGCTCAGGGTACTATGAAGGTAGGGGGTTATATAAACAGCAATGCCTGGGGGCACCTCAGACCCCAGGGAGAGTTCAAAGAGTTCCCACACTCTGGTTTATGCTCTCGGGTTGTAAATGGCTTTTCTTCCAGTGTAGATGCCTTTTAAATGGCTAAGCCTGGGGCAGGTGAGTGTGTCTATAGGCCTCTTGGTGATATCCCTCCCTGGTGCAGATCTTCTGATCAGGGATGGTGTTCCCATCACTACCATGTGTCCATCTGTCCTTTCCTACTTTATGTGGTCACCCTATCATTGATTATGCCAAAGCTGTTCAATCAACCTTCAGTTCTTCTTCAGTAGAAATGGCTCTATATTTAGCTGTAGATGTGGTGCGTCCATTGGAGGAAGTGAGTTCTGCCTTCTTAGGCTCAAAGGACCATCTCCTCTCACCCAATTCAAAAATGTTAGCGGTAAGATTTTTCATCATTGTACTAGCCCATTGTAAGATTGTTGCCAAGAGTGCAGGTGCTGACTCTGATAAACGAGGTCAGATACTAGCCAGATTCTATGGCTAGTCTATGTCTTTGATACCCTAGGACACAGGATTAATATATGATTAATATATAATATAATATATAATTAATATATATAATATATAATATAATATAAGATTAATATATCTGAAAAGCTCTCATGTAAAATTTCTAATAGTAAATGTGTGAGTTTGGTTAAATTTAATTTTATTGGGTCCTCAATTCTACAAAATGGGAATTTTCATAAAAACCTGCCAAGTTGAGAAGAAAAAATGGATTTGTGCATATAAGGGTAGATCATGTGGGGGTCTTGGCATTAAATAGTTTTGGCATTAAATTTGTTCATTAAATGTCTGTTGAACTTAGCTTATAAATGGAGTTCCACAGGTGTATAGTTGAGGTCCATATAGTTTAGAACAACAAACCTGGATCTGCAGGAGAGCTATAAAATCTAGCTTACTTTCTTTGGAGAGTTGCAGGCTAAGTCCACAACCTTGCTGGGCAGCTTCAGGTTTTCAGATATAAGAATCTAAAGTCTGCAGGTGTTGAGATCCCAAGTGCCACAATCAGAGGGCTTAATGCTGCTGTGACTCATGTGCTCACAACTCCACCGATATCTTGGCTTTGAATCCTAGAATACATAGAAAACTATCTTACCTACTTCCTTACAGGAATGCTATAGGGATGATAACATTAAAATGCTTCTCAAAGTAAGCTCAATTTCAGGACTAACTTTTGAACTCGATAAAAAGGATACTTTGAAGCAATAATGGAGGAAATGGCAGCTCTGATACCCGCCATTTTCTCTAATGGACCATTTATTCCCCCAAAGTAGTTTACACCCTAGAAATGTATCTCAAGGTGAAGCAGTGTCATTTTTACTTGATCTTATTTGGTGTACAAGATCAGATGTGTGGGCAAAAGACTCAGGCATTCTTTCATGTACCATAAAATCGACTTTTTAAACTCTCCCTCCTTACCATGGAGGGCCCTATACTAAAGGCAGCAGAGTATGCCTAAAACATCATGTGGGGACTTTACCTAGATTTGAAAGGATCTTTAATGCTATATGTATAGGTCTCAAGTTTGCCATATAGTTTACATGCCCAAAATTAAGTGTACATTTTAAGTGATTTTTTTCACATTTGCATTTAAGGCAATAAAATAATCACAAAAACTTCTATGCCATCAGCAGAGTGATTCTTTTACTTTTATGACAGTAATAATTCTGGTAAGCATCCAGTCAAATTCAAACACAGTTAGCCAACAAATGGATGTCACCCATTTCCATTCTTTTTGCAAGACTAAAATAGACGTGGTTGTTACTCCTGTAAACATTAGAGTAATATTTTCTCCAATAATTGTGAAAGAACAAGGATAACGAATAGTGCAGAAAGGATGATTTTGTCATTTCTTTATAAAATCTATCACTTATTAAAGTAGTCTGTGTTTTAAGGACAGTTTGCATTTAAAATCTGGGTCCGTCACTTTTCATCTGTAATATATTTCTGCATGACAGCGTCTGAGAATATGTGGACACACATCTGCTGCAAAATCATTAAACCAAGAGAAATGACTCCGATTTTACTTACATTTAGAGAAATAAAATGAGTAACAAATGAGAAGAGTGCTAAGTGAAGAATAAATCATTTACAGTCTAAAAATTCAATATTTCAAAACTCCTAAGGGTTAACAAAATATTTTAAATGACATAAACTGGATGTCAGAAATCACCCTTGTTCTAAATAGAGACTGTTGTAGATTTTAAGTAATTTACCTCTGTGACTACACCTTAAGCCATCAAAATCCCCACAGGTTTTCTTTCTTTTGTGAATATGTCATGATCAAGCTTTGGTCATAAAATATTGGCGCTGATACACTTCCTTAGCACTCAGTAAAATGGTATACTCATGTTAAAACGTTATTTCTACTAACCTCACAACAGAACTTAAAATGCAAACATTTAAATCCTCTAAAGCAGAAATACAAATGCATACACAATAACCCCAGGAAGTTTATTTATTAAGATTTATAAAATAAATTTCTTTGCCTGTTAATCAGAGTTCATTAATCTACATCTGCAAATATGTTTTGCCAAAGCATTTTGGTACTTAGACTCCTTTGAAACCACTTTAATGCAAGGGCTGAAGGAAAAGTTCAAAAGAGGAACAGATTAAGAACCCTTTGAGCCTGTCCACGCTCCTTTGTGAAGGCAGAAAGAAACAGAAGACCCAGTAGAGATCCATTTTGAAGTCTCTGCTTTGTTCCTCTGGGGTTTCTTGGAGGTATAGTCCTTGGGATGCAGATAGGATGTGAATCATGTGGCAGTCCTTGGCTATAATTCAAAGTAATAAAATCATGAAGCCGAGGGGCTGGGACAGTTAAGTGAATGACACTCCTTACAGCACACATATACAAATGTGATGTAGCTGAAATCCAAGACGATTTTCCACAAACCAGCTAGGAAGGTAATCCAAATCGGAGACTTCTGCAACCTGTCGCTCCTCCCACGATAAGGGCACCTCTCTTTGCTACCGTGTTACCTAAAACAAATGAGTGAGCGTTCAGTATCTCAGCCTCATCAACAAAGGTCCTTTCTCGTACTGGCCTCTTAAGTCCCTGTCTGTGTTATGTGTGCACCGTTAAGCAAACTGTTCCTTTATCTGTAACCAACGTCACCAAATCAGGTGTTCAAATTCTTCACATTTCTTGCTTTCAGGTTGCAAAGAAGGCTTGCACAAAGGCTTCCACAACACGGTATTTGGTACTGTTACTTGGTATTTTTTAGAGTTATAAAAACCCCATCAGAATAGGTACATTCATTGCCCATCAAGTTAACTCATGCATGCTGAGCATGCTTTCTTGAAGGCACTAAATTTTTTCAAATGAATGCCAAGTAAGATGAGTGTATGTCAAGATCAAAATGCTACCTTTGTTACTTTTGAATGTAGTTGACTTTAATTTTAAAAAACAGGTTATTTTAGAAAACTGCCATAATTACTGGAAACAGATGTTCATTAAGACGTTTACAGTCATTTTCTCTATTTTTAAATACTTAGATCAGCAGTTTCCATAGTTTTATTTGGTAACGTGACGTATTTCACAGGTTAGATAATCCATACACAAAGTAGAGGGGGAAAAACCAAAAGCTTAAGATTTGAACATTCCTGTAACATAAAAATATATTAGTAGATGATAGAGTCATCATGCCTGGTCTTTAGACTCAATCAAGTATACATTCAAAACTCAGATTTGCTGTTATTTGACATAAAACCTTTATTTTATATACTTTACAATAGAGCTGCTCTTTCCTTTGTACTGGGAATATTATAGCAAACACAACAAAAACCCATCCTCATGCAGTTTACCTAGAATAGGGCTAGCCTACTTTTTCAATAAAGGACTGGATAGTAAATATGTTCGCCTTTGCAGGCCATATAGTCATTGTCACAACTACTTAGACTTTACAGCACAAAAGGAGCACAGACGAAACAGCATGTAAACTAATGGGCACTGTTTCATCCCAATAAAATGCTAGCTGTAGACACTGAAATGGGGATATCCTGCAATTTTCATGTTATGAAATATGTTTTTCCTTTTCTTTCCAACCATTTAAAAGTGTACAGCCCATTCTTAGCTCACAGACCATAGGAAAACAGGCCAAGGGCTGAATGTGGCTTGCAAACCACAGCTTGGTGATTCCTATTCTAGAGGAAAGGGATGGATGAATAGGCAGAGAAACAATATGTCAGAAAGTGATTGGCGCTAAGGGACAAAAACAGATACCAGGGCCAGGTGGGTAGAAGTCTAGTAATTTCTAGAGGATTGTCAGATGAGGAGATGCTGGAAGGATGAGAGGGAGTCCTGATCAACCTAGGGGTAAAATCTTAGGTTTTTCTCCACCTCAGGTACAAAGGTGAGACAAGGGATGCATGGCCAGACTGTTAGGAGGATCACTTTGGGAGAAGTGCTGAAAGATGAAGCCATCAGGACACAGGATGGAGAGAATGAGGATTCAGGGACCACTCTGGAGTCTTAATCTCGAATACCCTGATTACAGAATTGGTCATTTTCTGAGATGGGGAGTATCACGGTCTTAGCTTCTTGGGCTGCTAAATGTTAAACTACTACTTTCTCCCTTCGGTTGTAGTGAAAAGTGAGTGAATGGCGAATGGCATGGCCCGGTGCTTGTTTTGTGAGTAACCCCAGGAAATGGTAGCCATTGCCACATTATTTCTTTCTGGATATAAGTATATATGTAGGGTATTATTCTCAATGCATCTTATTTAAGGAAGCTGACTTTCAACACCCAGCTCAGTTTGGAGCGTATCTAAAGTTGAATGGCAAGATTCTTTAGGATTGATTTTCCTGTAAAACTTTCCGTTTGCTAACTGTATATGGAAGGTTCATTGTCACTTTGGAATTTGGTGGATACAAGATTGCAAACATGCCAATACTAGCTCTACTCCATAGGTCCATAGGCTCAGGAATGACAAGACCTGAGGGTAAAGGAACCATCTCAGCTGGACCTTAAATGACAATTAGAATTCTAGAAAAGAGAAATGATGAATGTGAGGTAGCAGTGAGGGTATAGAAATACATGGTCTATTGGGTGAGTCACATTTAGGGCCTCACCTCAAGATGCTTACACTCTTCTGTTACCCATGGGGATCCATTGATGCTCTCTCACCAAGGAGAAACCTGGGCAGGGAATTTACCCTGGAAACACAGAAAACAGTACCAAGGCAAAAACAGAGCAGGTATGGGGCCTGGTTAAATGAGAATCCATGTAAGAAGAACTTTTTAAGAATGACCCCCTCTCAAACTTACTATACCAGACTACTCAAGGAGTGGGGCTCCGAAGGGTAGGGATAAGCTTCTGTGATTATTTTCCTGTGGCCACTATTACCATTAAATATTACAGTATTGTGGCAAAAGAGAATGAAGATGATTCATAGTGGTAGCCTAAGAAACAGAGAGAAAGGTACCCATCACAGGTATTTTGAGGAAGATACCTAAGAACGGGGTCATCTTAGATCTTGAGGATGAGAGATAGGGAGTTTAGAAAACTAATTAGAGTTAGTTTTCTAATGTGAAATACTGGAAACATGCAGACACTGAATGGAAACTTTGCAGAAGTAAATGAAGAGACTTAGGTGGGATGCTTATCAAGAGCTGGGGAAGGGGGGTGGTAAACAAAGCAGGTGTTCACTGTCTACATTGGAGTCAGATAATTCTTTGCTATGGGGGGCCTGTCTATGCATTTTAAGATTTTTACAACCTGTCTGGCCTCTACCCTCAACACCCCCCCGCATTCCCCCAATGTGTGGTAACTAAAAATGACCCCTTGATGGAAGGACTACTCTAAAGACATAGCTCTTTACTCTTAGATGTTGGAAAAATAAAAGCCTTAAAATTGTAAAATTTTTTGAAATTCAATATAATTTACTGACCAATGGTTGGCTTTGGTGTTAATACAACATGGTGTGCAGGTGTTAGAAGCTTCAATACAAACAACTCTAATGAAGACAAGGAAAACTGAGGCAGAATGACAGTGAAAGTTGCATTTTTCCACAAGAACTAATAGCTGAATTCTCTCTGGGAACACTGAAAACTATAGAGGCACAATATACTCACTGCCAAACTTTTATACCTGGAAAAGAGAGCAGGGCTGGCTAGAAAACTGTGCCCCCTCGCTTTCCGATCTTCATCTAAGTCTGTTAATCTCTCAACTTGACTGCTTAACTCTTCTCATATTTGCATTTAAATGGAAAATAAAATTCTGCCATAGAGGTCTTACTGCAGATCATCTGACTTTTTAGGCTTTCCACGAGTTGATGTTGCTGTGCAGGAACCGTTTTTAAGGAAAACGAAAACTATTTTGTCACATAGTTAATACCCCCTCTAGAACTGTAATCGCTCATCCGTTGTTGTAGGCCTGCTGTCTCACTTGTGGGGTAAGATTAGTGTCCATTTTATGAAAAAGAGCTTCTGAGGCCACCAAGCTCTTCCCAGAAGCCAGTCACACCTCCACAAGTGAATTTACTCTATATTCATAAGACCCATAAAAGATATAAAATGTTTTATGCAGTTCAAGTCACAATGAGTTGGATTAATAAAGGAAACAAAGTTTTACTACTTTGAGATTATTCTCAAGTGGCATAGCACTAAAAAAAATTAAAAAAGCATCTAAGTATCATGATGGCTTAGGGAACTGTATTGCGTTTCTACAACTTTTCGAAGTGCCAAATGAAATGTCACTACCGTTGAGGGTTCAGCCAGAGCAAACTTATATTCCCAGCACAGGGAGCCAAAATGCCCCTAAAGGTCTGCTTCCTGCAAATGCTCTCTCTAACTGCACATAAATAGAGAGGGAGCCGCTCCAGCAAGAGACTACTTAGACACAATCTTTTCCGGAACATGGTTGGCTTGTGTTCATGGTCTTGTTTTATATTTACATATACGAATCAATACAAGTATAATCTTCCAAATGTTACTTCTTCATCTACAAGAAATAGGATAAAAAAGAAATTTTTATCATTGATGGATATAATATGCTAGCTCATTGACCGCTCCAAGATATTTATTCAGGAAGGGGGTTGGGGGGGGAGGGGCCAAAAATGGCAGGGGTGGGAAGAATAGTGGAATTATTGTAAAGCAGGGTTTGCTTAGCAAGCACACTTGGGTTTACATAGATTGGAAGTTAATTTGGAGTAGCTTGAAAGAGGAGCTCATAGAAAGGATGGGGAATGTTAACCCCTTTCATGCAGCAACATAGGACACAGCGAACTTCCACTGTTGTGGATATAAAAGCATACACAGGCATCACCTCAGAGATATTGCAGGTTCAGCTCCAGACCACCACAGTAAAGCAAGTATTGCCATAAAGTGAGTATCTGAACAAAATGCGCATCACAGTAAAGCATGCCAAATTAATTTTTGTTTTCCCAGTGCATATAATAGTTATATTTACACCACACTATAGTCTGGTAAGTGTGCAATAACATTTGGTCTAAAAAAGCACTGTACATGCCTTATTTAAAAATACTTCGTGGCTAAAAACTGCTATCATGTGAGCTTTCAGCCAGTCATAATCTTTTTACTGGTGGAGGGCCTTGCCTCCGTGTTGATGGCAGCGACTAACTGGGGTGGCAGTTGCTGAAGGTGGGGGTGACTGGCAATTTATTATAACAAGACCACCTATTCAGCCACATGGACGGACTTTTCCTCTTAGGGATGATTTCTCTAGAGCGTGCCACGCTGTTTGTTTGACAGCCATTTTGCCCATAAAACTTCCTTCAAAATGGGAGCCAATCCTCCCAAACTCTACCATTGCCTTTCTCAATGCAGTTGATGTCATATTCTAAGTCTTTTGTTGTTAGGTCAGCACCTTTCACAGCATCTTCCTGAGGAGTAGATTCCATCTCAAGAAACTACTTTCTTTGCTCGACCCTAAGAAGTACCTCTTCATCTCTTAAGGTGTCTCATGGCAGTAGTTAGGTCCCATCTTCAGGCTCCATTTCTAGTTCTCTTGCTGTTTCGGCCACATCCACAGTTACTTCCTCCACTGAAGACTTGAACCCCTCAAAGCCATCCATGTGTGTTAAAAGCAACTTCTTCCAAATTCCTGTTAATTCTTATCTCTTCCCAGGAATGAGATGTGTTCTGAGTGGCATCTAGAATGCCCAGATCCATCAACGAATCGCTATCTGTGACAGCTATGGCCGATGACATCAACTTTTTAAATGATAAGACTTGAAAGTCAAAATAACATCCATTCTGCAGCCCACGGATCAAGGAGCCATGTTAGCAGGTATGAAAACAATATTAAACTCACTGTCTATCTCCATCAGAGCTCTTGGGGGACCAGGTATGTTGTTTAAAAAGAAACCTTTTTTATAAACAGTAAGTCTCAACAATGGGTTTTAAATATTCAGTAAACCAAGTTGTAAACAGACAGTCATCTAGGCTTTGTTTGTTCCATTTCTAGAGCAGAGTAGATTCAGCATAATTCTTCAGAACCCTAGGATTTTTCAGAATGGTAAATGAGCACTGTCAGCAGCCTAAAGTCACCAGCTGCATTAGCCCCTAACAAGAGAGTCAGCCTGTCCAGGCACTGACTTCTCCTTTCCAGCTATGAAAGTCCTAGACAGCATCTTCTTGCAACAGAATGCTCTTTTGTCCACAGTGACAATCTATTGTTTTGAGTAGCGACCTTCATTGTGTTAGCTAGAACTTCTAGGTAAGTAGCTGATTCACCTTGCACTTTCATGTCATGGAGATGGCCTCTTTGTTAAACCGCATGAGCCAACATCTGCTAGCTTCCAACTTTTCTTCCCTACCTTCATGGAATTGAAGAGTTAGGGTCTTGCTCTGGATCAGGCTTGGGTTTAAGGGAATATTGTGGCTAGGTGGATCTTTTATCCAGACCACTAGAACTTTCTCCAACAAGGCTGTTTCACTTTCTTCTTATCTGTGTGTTCACTGGAGTAGTTTTTTTCTAAATGTCCTTCATGAGTTTTTCCTTTGCATTCACAGCTTGGCTAAATGTGTCAGGCCTCCTGACTAAACTTAATCGAGTCAGAAACATGTGATTCTTCCTCTCACTGGAACATTCAGAGGCCCATGTGTGGTTATTAGTTGGCCTACTTTCAATATTGTTGTAATAAGGAAGGAAATAAGGAGAGGAAGGGAAACAGGGGAAAAGAAGACACACAGGGGTGCCACCCTAAAATTACAAATAGTACTGTCAGTGATCACTGATAATCAGAATAATGCAATGATTTGAAGAATCAAACATATTAGTGGGAATTACCAAACTTGGTGACACACAGACACCAGTGGAGCCAGTGCTATTGGAGAAAGTAATGCCGACAGACTTACTTGACATGACGTCGTCACAAACCTTCAGTTTGTAGTAACAACAACAAACCATAGAAACAGTATGTGCAAAGCACCACAAAAATGAGACATGCCTTTATCAGGTCATTCATCCTACTCATCTTTATATTACTAACAAAACGTTGACAATTATACTACTGATGATTTTGTATCTGATGCCAGCTAAAATGTATAGTTTTTTATAAAATGTTATTTGTTCTTTAGAATGACCAATTTTATGACTGTTTTCCCGATTTTATTACTTTCTATTCAAAAAAGTCATTGGGACTATGAAGGTAACCATCGAAAGTATGACTCTAAAGAAATACTGGTTAAGGAGTAAAGAAAGGAGGGAAGCACAATCCGTGAAGAAAACACCTTCCTTTGCAATTGCAAAGGCACCAAGGTAAGAGGTACTAACAGAAGCCTGAAACAGCCACAACCACCAAAAAGATAACCTGGCAAACCACCTCCCTTCATTCTTAAGACCCAGACAGGCAAGGTTAGTGGTGCAAGATAGACAGAGAGGCAGAGTAGCTAGGAAGATGTGCATTTCACAAATATGATGGTGGTCATCGTATGGAGAATGACCTTAAAAGGGAGTAAGAGTGGATGTGAGGCATCAAGATGAGACACAGTGGAGACAGGACCATTGTTCTAAGGATGGTGGCCAAGGAGGATGATGGGCGTAACAAGGCCAGCGACCCATAATAGACTGGACATGGAGAGGGAAGGAAGAAGTAGATGTCAGGCTCAAGAACTGAGTAGACACTGGTAGACCTCTGAAAGGGTGGGGACTAGAAAGCACATCCCTGGAGGAGACAACTCTTGACTTCTATAACACTTGAGTCTTCAACTACTAAAATTCCTCACAGGAAGTAAGGAGGATCATAAATCAGGCTCTTGAAGGAGCTACAATGAATTGAGTGACCTTGCCTAAAATGACCAGTTCATCCAGCAAGTCACTGCTCCATACAATCTGACATAAAGGGCGATACTAGGAAATGGGCTTTTCAGAAGGCCAAAGTAACAGGATGGCAAGGAGGTTTATCAACATAAAATAACATCGCGGGTGGTACCAGGATGAAATAAAGGGGAAGAACCTCATAGTTAATCATCTGAGGAAGTTGTAAATGAGAATTGTGTTTGTCTATACTTGCCTTTGTAGTTTTGACTTTATTGCCACTGCTACAGGACCAACCTGAGTAATCTGGCAGCACTTTACAGTCCTCTCCTTCCAAGCAAGGGTTCATGTGACACCACCATTTCTGAATCACGATGGAAGCTGGAAAACAAAGGCCAAATAGCGTTTGTGAAAGTGTTTCTTCCTCCAAATGGAGACAACATAATGCTCATGTGGATCAATACAGTGATCTCAAGGATTGTTAATAAGAACTATTTAACATAAGTAAATTTAAAGAACGAGGTCAGCCATAGGCTCTGGAAAATAGTGAGATCCCAAGCTTTACAAATTGCTGGGATATGAATTTGCCTGTGCTACTTTCTTTTTTCCAATGACTTTAGTTATTTAACTCCTCTTGATCTCAGTTTCTTCATCTGTAAGATGGGGATAAAAATAAAACCTCACCACAGATGCCAAGAGGATAAAGCTAATCCACAGCAGAGTCTTAGCTAACCATGGGCCAGTCACTGGGTTATTAGAAAACGGTAGCTACTGCTGGGCTCACCGTTTCGTAGGTTACAACAGTGGGTGCTGATACAGCAACGTCACTACATTGGATGGTCTTTGTTGCCAGTTGCATAGATTAAAAGCAGTATAAACATTTCCGTCACAGAGGGGTTCATCTCTCCATGCCAGTCCAGCAAGTGGTGGAGTAACTCCTTGAACTCAACAACTGGAAGCCAAGTGAAGGTACGAGAGCCTGGTACTCCCTCACCTGCCCACATTCGAGGCTCGTTATCTCACCCAGGAATTCCCTTTCCTCCTTACCCCATCATCTTTGCTGACATCTGCCAGTAAGAATTCCCCAGGTTTGGAGGCAGATAAAGACAAGTTAAGGAAACTCCATCAACCTGGCCAGGTATTCTTACAGAGTCAAAGGACAAAATGGATCGTGATTCATATTTAAAGGTGAGGCCAGCCAGAGGGCTGGTACAGATCTGAGACTGTAGGTAGGGTGTGTGGATTAAGGGGGATGGGTGGTTGAGCCCTATTTTTTGTTGAAATTTTTAAAGTTTATTTTTCAGAGAAATAGTGTGAGTGGAGGAGGGGTGGAGAGATAAAGTCCCAAGCAGGCTCCTTGCTGCCAGTGCAGAGCCCGATGCAGGACTCGAACCCATGAAACTGTGAGCTCATTGCCTGAGCCGACACCAGGAGTCAGACACTTAACTGACTCAGGCACCCCAAGCCCTGGTTTTCTGTTGAAATAAGAGCACTTAGGGGAAAAAATATCTTCATGAACTTGACTCAAACTACAACTTCCTGGGAAGCCTGAAACTCAATTTCAAGCAAATCTTGAGCATTCCTAATAGCTATAGCTATTGTTTCTTGAGCGAGAGGCATCCTGTTAATGTATTTCCTTCATTGTATGGAGAGGAAAAAGCTAAGGCTCCCAGTCCAGCTAAGGCTGGAGCCCCCTCATCAACCCTTATATTTATACCTCTCCCCCACACCAGCAAGCTATAGTACAAACAACTAGAGGTATAGAGGCAGCAACAAAAGTAGATAACACAGCAAGCTGATGCATTGAAAACTGGTCTCCTGTCACGCAAATGCACTACGGCATGATTAGGGCACAGGACCATTTCATTATCAGCTGAAATAGCCAGACAGTGTGTCTACTCCACATGAAAACCACCATTCCTGATTCTGGCCCAATCCTGTGCTACTATCTGATTAGAGTCCCCTTAAAAGCAATATTACCTAAATGAGGTAGAATTGTGATCTAGAATAATCATAAGCTATTTAAGTGAGAAGGTGCCAATACTGAGAAAGGAATATAGCTATATGGGTTACTTATTTTGGCAGAGACTGCCAATGAACTTGAGTGGATGGAGACAGTAGGGTGAAGTTTGAGAAGGATGTATGCTCTTCAGTCACAAATATTACAGAAATATCACCTTAAAACTGTAGAGAGTTTGTTATTTTCAAAGCCCATTTACATACTGTTGCTCTTTTGATTGTCCCAACAGCCTTTAGCAGCAGGAAGAGGAGGCAGATGGTTCCGGAAATAAAAACAAGAGCTTTCCACAAAGTGAGTAAAATGAGAGAGGAGGTATGAGAATCTAGGCTTCTTCCTCCGTATCTGCAAGTCTTTCTACTGTACGACATTTTACAGTCATAGTTGAGGTTAACACATGCTACACAGAGTTTGACCAGATTCAAAGTGCCGACCAATCCTTCATTATTTTCTGAATACCTTAGGGTGGTCCCAAGTGGATATAAAGATAAATAAGAGATGGTTCCCAACCCTCAATTTCAAAATTCCATCTGCAGGACCACAAAAGTTATATAAATGTTGACAGAGCTTAGTTATATTTACACAGAGTTACAGCTGAATTTAAAATACTTTTTTTTTTTTTTTTTTATCTTTAAAAGAGTTCTCTTAGGAAGATTCTCTGCCAGTCAGCAGTGGGAACCTGACAGGTGCCAGGGCCACACAGAGGATTCCAAAACAGCTCAGATGACAGGTGATCTGTCAAAGCAAAGGCACCTGGTGCTTTGAGACAGTGAGTGGCCCACCTGGAAGCCAGGAGGCCCGTGTGGCTGCCATGAGGGGTCAGCAGAAAAGCAGAGGACAGTTAGCTGAGCCCATTTAGGGGCTCTCAATGCCAATTCCAGATTAGACTTGATTTCTCAAGCAGGAGGGAGCCCTGCAAAGTTTCTAGCAAGAGTGGTATGATAAGCCAGGGAAAACTGTGGGCCCAGGAGAGCTAGTCTGGTGGGTGATGATAAACCACTGGGGCCAAAAAGGAGTCTGAAAGAGACCAAGTGAGGTGTAAGTGAGAAACCTGGCACAAATTCCCTACAGAGGAAATAATCTGACTCATTCTATCTCAACTTCACAGCAGGGAAATGCAAGTCCTTACTGGCCCCTGGGGTCCCAAGATCATTCTGATGCAAAATCTAGAAAAGGAGCTTGAGGGGGTAAAGAAAAAAAAAAAAGCCAATTCGTAACTACAGAACAGAAAAATATTTTCAGAATATTTTGTTACAAACTTTACATTGCTTTTTTTTAATACTTTATTTATTTTTGAGAGAGAGGGAGACACAGAATCCGAAACCGGCTCCAGGCTCTGAGTTAGCTGTCAGCACAGAGCCCAATACAGGGCTCGAACCCACAAACCATGAGATCATGACCTAAGCCGAAGTTGGATGCTTAAAAGACTGAGCCACCCAGGCACCCCAAAAATTTTAAATTGTTTTAAAGAAGCATGTAAGACCTAGCTCTTGTGAAATTTTTTTACCAGTTTTTTTTTCATTTAACTGGAAAATGTGATTTTTCTGAAGACAGATTCACAGTAGGTTCATCAAATAACAACCTATCCTGAAATTTAAAATAATTCTATTTGCTAAAAAGCAAAAAACAAACCATTTTCATATCTTAGTGAATACATACCTTAGGGCCCTATAAATGTGTTCATGACTGACTGACTTAACAGCAAATGCTCTTTCAGAAAAGAAAGCCTTCATGAGGCACCGCAGTGGCCACAAGGAAAGTTTCAAATTCCTTTATGCATTAAAGACTAAGGAACTCACAGCTAAGGTAAGGACCATATAAGGGTTTCACCCACCAGTAAATAAAATCCCAGAAGTCCGGGGTGGCTCAGTCAGTTGAGCATCCAACTTGGGCTCAGGTCATGATCTCATGGATAATGAGTTTGAGCCTCGCGTCAGGCTCTGCACTGACAGCTCAGAGCCTGGAGACTGCTTGGGATTTTGTGTCCCCCTCTTTCTCTCAAAAATAAATACACATTAAAAAAACAACAACAAAAAACAAACCCAGAAGGTCAAGCTGTGAGTGCATACTGAGCCCAGCTTTGAGCTGAGACAAAGGACCCAGAAGTAGGATTTATTAAAATAACTCTTGAGAACATCTGCCCACTTAACTGAGCCTTGTCTCCATAGGAAAATAAGTTTGTAGGAGGTATCTATTTTATCCTGTTATAAAATTTCATAATGAGAAAGTGTCTTGTCACTTCTATTTTTAAAATAAAGTTCTTTAGAAGGCCCCATGCCTTTACAAAACATCCCTATCTCCAAGATGCCAACCTGTAATGAATTTCTAGTTTTATGCAGAAAGGTAGGGGATTAAAAAAAAAACACTGAATCTCTGCTTTTATGGTTGTGACTAGTGTTTTCTGTAATGCTGTTTTATAGGTGAAAATATAATGGGACCAATTAGCTATTTTGTTCCTGGTACATTTTCTGTACGCTCTGTTGTACAAAATAGACTGAGATTTTTTTTTTCTATTCCTTGTCCCAATTAAATATTACTCCATGAAATAAAACACAATATGTGTTCATACAGCTATTTACATAAACCCACCTTTGAATAAAACTAACGACAAGCAGGCTCACTTCTGAGGAGTTGGTCTTTCATTTTTTGACTTAGTTTAGTTGTATTTACACAGAGTTAAGCTTTTGCTAAAGAAAAGGGTACTTTTACACTGAAACTACAGAAAGATGAACACATCTTTCTAGAATATGCTCTGAGCTTCTAATACACTTTAGCTACTTTGCTCTTAAACATTCTTATTTCAAGATGCTCTTTGCAAATTAACCTTAAAAAAAAGTTTAACTTTAAGCTATTGGTTAACTTTAAAGATAGGCAGATGCCTGAGTGACTCGGTGGGTTAAGCGTCCGACCTCAGCTCATGTCATGATCTCACAGCTCCTGGGTTGGAGCCCCGCTTCAGATTCTGTGTCTCCCCTCTCTATGCCCCTCCCCTACTCACACTCTGTTTCTCTCAGTCTCAAAAAAAAAAAAAAAAAAAAAAAAAAATAAAAAAGCCAAAAGCTGCCAATAAAAAAAAGGAAAGAAAAGAAAAGGAAAGAAAAGAAAAAAAAAGAAAAAAAAAAAAAAAAAAAAAAAAAAAAAAAAAAAAAAAAAGGCAGGTGCCAAAAGCTGCCAATTTATATTTGCTATTTCAAGAAAAGAAGCCATTCCAACCTGACCCAGGTAACACGCAAAAAGGCAGTCCTGAGAACACATTTTTGTTAAAGTTCACTTGTTCACATACTTCACACATAACAAGGTACTGTTATTTCCACCAAGTACACAGAGTACTGAGTGACGCTGTGGATAAACAGGTACAGAATGATCTTTTGTGATCTGAATTCGTCTTCTACAGTATGCGCAAGCTCACACAAGTACAACCATGTACTAGGCAGCAGGGACCTAACTCTAAGGCAGTTACTTAACCTTAGCACATAAGAGGCCAGATAATTCTTGATTGTCGCTGTATATATGCACATGATAACATCATGATCAGCATCCCTGGCCTCAACCCACTAGATGCCAATAGCACCTCCTCCCCCAGTATATAATCCAAAGTATTTCCAGACATCATCAAATATCCCTAGGATGGCCAAAATCACCTCTGGTTAAGAAACACTGATCTTTGGGGGTGCCTGGGTGGCTCAGTCAGTTAAGGGTCTGACTCTAAGTTTGAGCCTCACAACAGGCTCTGCGCCGACAGTGCAGAGCTTGCTTCAGATTCTCTCTCCTCCCCACCCCTCCCCCACTTGCTGTCATTCACTCCACTGCCGCTGGGAAAAACTCAGAAACCCACTTTGTCTTTTAGTTGGTACCAAGAACATACCCAGTCACAAAACCTTGTGAAATCACATCTTGGAGACAGACTCTGTACCTTAGCACACAGCCCATAAAGCCGTGCAAGTTGTCTGCAACATGGAATTCTAGGACTTAACTAAGCGATCTGTGACATCTTGGAAAACAAACTAGGGCATCAGAAGAAGGAAAAATAATAGCTGCCTCCCATCTCTCAGTTTTTATCAGTCTTTTTTAAATCCAATGCTTAGGAAGCATTCACTTTGATGAAATAAATGAAGCTTTGCCATAGTACACATTTATCTCGTTTTATCATAAACCATTCAGCATTATCTCTGTAGAGTGGTATTTTGATAAAGGTGGAGAATATAGGTCCTGTCATTAAACAGCATCCATATATTACGTGGCAGTTGAAGATCCAAATGGAAACATGCCTACCAGCACATAATTGTCTACTGTAGGGCCCAAATCCCAGATGTGCAGGACAGACACATTTCAATGACACAGGATTTTATAAGTTAATTATAACCAAGAAAAAAAACTTGGAGACAAAAAAAAAAAAACAGCTAATTTTTCTCCCATTTTAACTAATAAAAGCAATGGAAACACAAGACAAGTATCTGTGCTGTAGATTAACAGAAATGAATAAGGAGATTCCACTTTCAATGTCAACATTAATTAGTGCCCCGCTCCAATGTCTTCTTGCTTTTAATTTAAATGTAAATTCAAGTGAATTTTATATTTTAGATCCTCTCCACATTCTTATTGACAAATAAGAAAAGAGGAACAGATCAGCAGAGACTAGGTCTTCCCACAAACCAGCTAACAGCATGATACTGCATAATTATTATGGGATAAAGATTATTATGGGATAAAGCTAAAAAGCCCTAATGGAAACATTCAGATAAGGAATAGAAGATCAGAAGGATATGAAAACAGATACCATCCTAACTAAAGCCTAAACTACAACTTCCAACACCTCCTCGGTGACTTTGATCCAATACACATTGATTGAACACTGACGGTTTGCCAGGCTATGCTAGGTGCGGCGACACAAATATTAACACACATTCATAATTCTACCCTTCAGAATGTGGTTATTTTCTGGCTACAAATGTATTCATGAGTTACATATGTACACAAAGCTGATCCTGCAGTGTCCGATAGGAAAGCTTCTAGTTACAAGTTCCATTTAAATTTAAATCCATACCAGTCACATCTCAAATGCTCAAATGCTCAACAGCCACATGTGGTTAGTGGTTCCCAATCTTCATGGACATAAATGCAACCACACATGTAGCTAAGAGATATAAAGAATATGTACATTATCACAGAACATTCTGCTGTACATCAGACACCACATAATTGATCTCTATCACTTACTGATCCTATGACAGTAAGGAAATCATTTAACTAGCCTGTGAGTCCATTTGTCTTGACACAGACACAACTAAAATGTCCTTCGGTAGAGGAAGAGGTACACAAATTATAACCCAGCCATACAATGGAATGCTAATAGAGCAAGTAATAATAACAAGTCAGTTTGTACTAGCACACAAAGATCTCTGCAACATAATATTGGTAACAGGTTGGATTAAGAAATATACAGTGTGATACCATTTGGGTAAAACACATTTATACTGCAATGTACCACATTTTCTTGAGAACTATCTCAAATATATAAATAGGTCAAAAAAAATTAATAGACCAAACACATAAATGCAGTTATTCTTACAGTGGTGGCCAAAGGGGATTTGGCCCAAATAATAAATGTATATAAAAAGTAAAGCAAGCTACTGCAGAGTAAGGTATTAATATTTTATTAAGGGAAAAATACTAAATATGATTGCCACCCCATCTGTATTTTCGGGATCCCGATAAAAATGCTTTGAGATAAATGTAGAAGACTTCTTAAATCTAAAGATTCTATGCTGGATAGAATGTAGAGTTTATGTTATAATTCAAAATTCTCGAGGAAGTTTACAATCCACACAGCAAACAAACACATTCGTTTGAAAATAATCTGTGATTCCTGAATATGATTATGTTCTCCACTGTGCCCAAGTCACTCATGCACCAGCCAGTGCGAGGGTAAGTAGAAAGAAGTAAGAAAGACAGTTGTCATCTTCAAGCAACCTGCTGACTAATGGAAAGGCACACATTCAGACAGATCTGAAAATAGGATACATGTCATGAACGGGATGTACAGGGAGATACAGGAAATATGGACACAGAGGAGGAATTAAATAGACAAAATGTGTGTTGTGGGGCAGAAGGCAGTGCCCCAGGCCAGGATATAGGTACAAGTGCAGGAGAAAAGGGAACGTAAAGTGGGGGACCTGGGGGTTCAGTCGGTTAAGTGTCTGACTTTGGCTCAGTTCGTGATCTCATGATCTCACAGTTTTTGAGTTTGAGCCCTGCTCTCTGCTGTCAGCGCAAAATGCACTTCGGATCCTCTGTTTTCTGCTCTCCCTGTCCCTTCCCCCACCCCACACTCTCTCTCTCTCTCTAAAAAATAAAAAGGGAGCATAAAGGACCCCACTTAGATGTGAGTAGTGTAGTTGAAAGAGAGGAAGGAGACACAGCCAGAATATGCCAGGCTTCAGAAGCCAGGAGAAAGAAGAACTTAGCAAATTTCTTTTAAATGTCTTTTTTTAAAAATGTTAACTATCTTCCTTTATAGATTACAATCCTTTGTCTGTTATCCCCAGATCCAAAAAGCTCTGAAAATGGACAGGAGTTCTGTACAATGGCAACAAAACCTGATTTGAATTAACATGAGGCTGGTCATCTTGCCCTCTCCTGTTCTGCACGAATATGCTATATACTGCACTGAAGACATACTAGCATCTCTAAGTACGGGGTACAACCGGAAAAGACAGTAGATTCGTTAGGTAACAGATGCTTATGTACTATGCTGCCTTTAAAAAATCTGAATTCAGCCACGCATTTGGCCCCAGGGTTTCTGTGAAGAACTGTAGATGGTAAGTTGGCCATATTTACTTTCCAGCTTTAACTGTCACTGAGATCACGCTGATGCACAATCCTAGTGACCATCCAGGCCATAAATTTGTGCCTGTGTTTGATAGGGGAGGTGGGATATGGGAAAGTCAATTATTATTCTGGATTGTGTGATTCTGGAGTAAAGAATGCATATATGCATTTTAATGGCTGACCTTTAGACCTGCATCAAGTAAGACTGGAAGCCTTCACTTTCAGGGAGTTTTCATGCCAGTATAGAGCAAGTACTACGAGGCTTAACCTCATGAATCCGTTCCCCTGGGGAATGACACTTGTTTCTAACAAGGTGTCTGCTAGAAGCAGCCAGGGGCATCAAAAGGAATCATTCATTCATTTTTTTTTTTTTTTTAATTCATTGGCACAGCACTCTGCTAGGGGATTTGGAGACAAAAAATAAATGACATGTGATTCCAAACTTTTCTCAGGGAAGATGCTCCAGAGAAAATATTTTATAAGTGTTTGTTAAAATAGTCAAGTACATATAAAGAGAATAGAAGTCTGTAACATTAAACATGAGGTGAGAAAATCAGGCTGCTAATTGCTTCGGAATTGAGAGCTTGAGATCAGGGAGAAAATTCTGTCTAGTGAGACAACGGTTTTGATGCATATGATTTGGACAGACAGTTAGGCAAGAAAAAACTCAAAGCCTATCTCCCTGATTGTCTAGTAACAGAACTCCCCACTGGTACCGCTTGAGAAATATCATTAACCGCTTCCCTTATCCACCACATAATTTGTGGAGTTACAATTATGTTCATTTTTACAGCAGCACTAATCCAGAATCAGCCTCGTATTCCTTGAGTTGAAAGGACAGTAAAGCAAGGAGGTTCTTGGTAGTTTGAGGCACCTTTTGCAAGACTGGAGAAAACGGACTGGAAAGGTCTTACCTTCAACGCAAGAAGGCTGAGCCCGAGTGGTGCCAGCCACCTGTCCGGGGAAGCAGGAACACTTGACGGTTTGCGATCGCTCTTCTATGCGGTTCTTATTACAGCACCGGTGTACAGCAACCACCTCACAGGTCCCCTGCTTGATTTGGTGGTGACCTGATGGATAAAGGGGGAGAAAGACAGACCCAGTGCTGTGAGGGAAAAATCAAAGTACCACACAGATGAATGATGCTATGACTCCATTTTCTAACTTCCTGTTCCAAGCTTATGAATCTCTGTAACTTTTCCCTTTGATGTAATTTAAATATATATAAAGGTGGTACGAATAGTGTTGGGGGTGGGGGACAAAATCTCCTGAGAACCTGTTATAGACAGAAATTCAACCCCCAGGACCTTCAGCTCCTCGTATCACAACCACAGCTACATTACGTTACTTACATGGCAAAAGAGATGTTGTACATATAATTTAAAATCACTAACTGGTTAGGGGAACCTGGGTAGTGCAGTCAATTAAGCGTCCAACCCTTGATCTTGGCTCAAGTCATGATCCTGCGGTTGGGGAGTTCAACCCATACGTGCTCTCTCCTCTCTCTCCGTCTCAAAAATAAACAAACATTAAAAAAAAATGCGTTTATATTTTATAATTAAGTCTGGACCTTGCATCAATTATAAATATGGTTATATCTACCTTATAAGAATTCTATAATTTTCTTTTGAGTCTAGTAATTACATGAAAGGACTTTCCTTGTATCTGACATTTTAATATTCAACAACAGACCTGTCCAAATTCTACTGTCTACCAACATTTGCTTATCAGTTAAATCTGTTTTTTATTCTTCCAATAAATGTTCAAGAGGCTATCTAAAAAAAAAAAATTTTTTTTTAAATCACTAACTGGTTGATCTTAAGAGGAGGAAAATTTCCTTGATTGTCCAGATAGAACTAATGTTATCACATGAACCCTTGAAGGCAAACAGATGAAGCAGAAGGGGAAAGCCGATTGGAAACAGAAACACTCAAAGCACCACTGCCGGCTTAAAGATGGAGCGATCAAAAGGCAAGGAAATGGTGGGTTCAGTCCTACAACCACAAGGAATGGAGTTCAGCCAACAAACTGAATACTTGTGGAAGCAGATTCTTCTTCACAGCCCCCACAAGGAATGCAGTCCTGCTAGTAGCTTGATTTTAACCCAGAGGCCAGACTCTGAGCAGAGAAACCAGCTACTGTGCCAGACTTTTGACTTACAGAAACAACCTCCTAAACTTGTGGTCGCTTGTCACAGCCGCAATAGCATAATAATGTAAGACCTTATATGCAGATTCACTATTGTTAACATGCGACTCTATATGCCTTGTCATTCACTCTCTTTCATGTATCTTTCTGCACCATTTGAGAGTCAGTCGCAGACATGATACCCCTTTACCCTTAAATAACACCTCGTGTGTGTTTCCTAAGAACAAAGACATTGTCTTACATAATTATCAAAATCAGGACATTTGACACTGATAAAATATTATTACATAATGCTGTTATATAATCTACAGGTTTGCCAGTTGTTCTAATAATGTGCTTTAGAGACATTATCCCCTTTGTTCAGGATCTAGCCCAGGGATCTGTGATGTGTTTGGTTGTCACATTTCTTTAGCCTTCTTTAATCAGCTAGTACTTTTCAGCCTTTATCTTTCTTCACCTTGACATTTTTATTTTAGTTTTGTTTTTGTTTTATTTATTTCTAGGAGAGAGAGACAGCGTGAGCAGGGGAGGGTCAGAGAGAGAGGGAGTCACAGACTGAAACAGGCTCCAGGCTCTGAGCTGTCAGTCAGCACAGAGCCCGACGCGGGGCCCGATCCCACAAACCGCGAGATCATGACCTAAGCGAAAGTCGGATGCTCAACCGACTAAGCCACCCAGGCGCCCCAAACTTGACATTTTTAAAGAATACATGCCAGTTACTTTGTAGACTGTCGCTCAGTGGTTCCTATGGCCCTGGTCAAGGGTTCAAAGACTCCAACCCCAGCCAACAGATTAAGTGCCATCAGACAACCTTGGAGCAAGACCACCCAGTTAAGCCACTCCCAGATTTCTGATGATGAAAGAAGAGACTGTAGGAAATAATATTTGTAGATTGTTTTATGCTCCTAAGGTTTAGGCTAATTTGTTACACAGCAATAGATAACTAATACCACTGCTCTGATAAAAAACAACGTAAAGATTTTGGAGACAATGGTTAGAAGTCATTAATAAAAGTCAACCTTTTCAAGCACCCTTGAGCACTCTCAATTTTTACATGTATGATTTACATATAAATTGTTCTGTGAATTACAAGCAATCTCATCTACTCATTAAAACAGGCTTCCCCAAAGATTACCAGGGACTAATGCTTTGCTTGGTTTCTGTTGTTTGGTATGGGGCCTTCAAATCACAAAACTAGTTTAAAAACTGAATTATGAGATATTTTTAATAGAGTTAGCCCTTCCACAAAACAACCTATTATTCTGAAGATTTTCTCACCCTTCCTTTGCCGTACTGTGTTAACTGTTGGTGGAAGCAAACTTCAAACGCTGGCAAGAACAAATACTAAGAGAAAGTTTCATTTGTAAAACACATAAAATCAGATCCAGTTCCCAGAGAATCAAACCACCATCATGAGAGAAAGTTTTCAATCTATTACAGAAGAAAGCATTAGGAAGTGATTAAAACTATAAACCTAATTAAATGTATAAACACGAATGCTGATTTCCCATAGGTTGTTGTACACAATTGTAAAAATTAAATAAAAAACCATAATTACGATGTTGGGAAACTAGCATGGGAATTTAGTGCTGCGTCAGCAGAAAAGTGAGGCCTTCAAAGAGTTGGTGAGGAGCTTGTTTCTCTGGTTTCCAACTGCAAGCAAATGCCATCAGGTCAAACATTCCCTGAATGGCTAGCCATGTAGTTGGGGGGGGGGGGGGGGGGGCAGGGTGAATTCATCCTCAGTCCTCCGAGAGTGTGTTCCTCTCCCCGATGGCCACTGTTGCCGTTTGCCCAGCTGCCACAAGAAATTACCACAGTCTGGGTGGCTTAAACAACAGATCAAGGTGTTGGCCAATGCATTTCCCAGTAAGAGCTTTCCTTCTGGCTTGCAGCACCCAGCGGCATTCTCATGGTAAAGATGGAGTACTCTACTGTCTCTTTTTCCCCCCCACCCCATAAAAACACCAACTCTCCATTATGACTTCATTTAACCTTTACTACCTCCTCACAGACTCTGTCTCCAAATATAGTCACATTTGGGCGTTAGCTCTTCAACATATAAATTGGGTAGGAGGGACACAAATATTCCATTTATATAACAGCCATCATGAATTAGATGTTTTTATTTATTTTGAGAGAGAGAGAGAGAGAGAGAGAGAGAGAGAGAGAGAGAGAGAGCATGAGCAGGGGAGGGGAGGAAAGAGAATCCCAAGCAGGGTCTGCTCTGTCAGTGCAGAGTCCCACGCAGGGCTCGATCTCACAAACTGTGAGATCATGACCTAAGACAGTATCAAGAGTCAGAGGCTTAAATGACTGAGCCATGCAGGGGTCCCACATTAATTCGATTTTAAATGACTCTAGAGAGTCATGAAGACAGCACTAAACCTCCTTAGGAAAATAAATGTGTTTTAGCAACTTAAAATAGTTGAAGAGTGATTTGGACATTTACTAATATTATAGTTGCTTAGAATTTTGCTGCTATGTAGATAAGCATCCACAAATGCAAATAGATTTTTTTTTTCCTTCTCAAAATTGTCTCTGAATAATCAGCTTGCTGGTCTAGAATTGTATTCACTTATATAGAACACTGACTACTGTACTTCATTGATTTTTAAGATACATATTTTTCTCATCTTTAAACATTTCAGGAGCTATGACAACTGATAGCATCTTATCACTGTAATTGGCAATGCTTTTCTTTCTTAGAAATACACAAAATAGCAGTCTGTCTCACAATTGATGGCCTCTTAGATTTGATAAAATAGGGTAGTTTGCAGCCTCTGTTTTAAATTCCTTACAAATACTTTCCTATGTAATCTTATAAAAATGCTATGATGTAGCTACTATTTTTATTCCTTTTGTACATTTAACAAAATGTACAGACATTAATTTGCCCAAGGTCACACAACTAGAAATTGACAAAAGGAGAGATGTAAACTCAGGCAGTCTCTAGACTAGGATGCAGGGGAGAGGTAGTAGCTGCAGTAACTACTATTTCACCAAGTGGAGTCAAAATGGCTTCTCCACCTCAGCAAATCAGTCACAAGACATGGCTCAGTTTCCCACTGGAAACATCTGCCCACCATGACCACAGTGTTTGTGGGACTCTGTACAGACACTCCTTCTAATCATCTGTGTACTGGTAACACTGGACTGTGGTCTTTGAATAAGAATTTGCCTTCTTTCTTTGTAGTCTACAGATTCTGGCGGAGGTGCTAAGTATTCAGAAACAAGTACTTAAAAGGGCTCAAGGAATGACAGCAAAGGACAAGGATCCATTGTGAGCTGCCATGACAGAAATCAGATTGTACTTACTTGAGCAGTTCATCTTGTATATACACATATTTATTATAAGAAACTGACTCACATGATTATGGAAGCTGAATATTCCTAAGATCTTCAGGGTAAGTCAGTAAGATGGAGGCTCCAGGAAGCCAAAAGTTCAGTTCAAGTCTGAGTCCAAAGGCTTGAGACCCAAGAGAACCCGTGATGGTATTCCAACTCAAAGACTGGAAGGCTCAAAACTCAGCAAGAGCTGATGTTTCAGCTTGCAAAGGCAGGGTAAGATATGTCTCAATCCAAAGTCAGGAATAATTCTCTCTTACTCAGGGGAGAGGGGAGAGAGATCAGCCTTTTTGTCTACTCAGGCCTTCAACTGATTGGATGAGGCCCACCCACATTAAATCCTTACTCAGTCTATCAGTTCAAATGCAAAACTCATCCAAAACACCCTCAAAGAAACACACAAAGTGTGACTAAGTACTGGGTATCCCAGGGCCCAGTCAACTTGTTATAGAAAATTAACCACCATAAACAGACAACTACGTAGTGTAGTCCTGTTACATGGGGGAAACATTAAAGCTTTTAAAACAGACAAGAAATTTTCTTGTCTGTGCATGACATGATGTACAATGCCTTG